CGCCAACGGGCCCGGCTGTTCTCCCGTCACGTCGGAGACACGGGCGTGAGCCCGCGCCAAGATGGGCCTGAGTCAGGGAATTGCCCTCCAGATCTGAGCGTCCCCCCAGGTATTGGGGGGGGGCTGGAGCTGGGGGGTGGGGGAGCCCTGACTGCAAATGGCGCCCAGGTGGGCTGGCCAGTGGGCACGGCCCCTTTCCCCTTCCCGGGCCTCCACAGGGGGCAGCAGCATGAGCAGGTATTATGCAGTGAGCCACAGCTGCTGCTCGGGCCCCAGCGCCCCTCCCGGTCTCAACGCTGCCGCACCCTAAGCGGAGCAGGTTTGGGGGGCTTTATACTGCTCCCCCCACCGACAGCAGCTCTCATGCGCCGTGCCGGGAACACCCTTCTCAGGGCTGGTAAATAACACCCCCAGCAACCTGGAGAGACGAGTCCATGCCTGCCCCACCGACCTCTGCATAGGAGCGTCTCCGGGCCAAGGGGCCCGCTGCCTGCCCGGGGTGCAGGCTGGGTCCACCAATGCCAGACGCCAGCGTGCGGCCTGTCGAACGTGGGCCCAACGTGCCTCCAGCTCTGGAGCTGCGGCCTGGGTTGCTAAGAGGTTTCCCGTGGAGACTCAGTGCCGCCCCGTCTTGCTCTGCACGGCTGGTTTGTAGGAACAGGCAGAAGCGGGACCGCGTGTCCCCCAGAGGCTGAGCAGGGGAGCCCTGCGTGGACACAGCCCCGCTACAGGGGCCATCCTATCGCTAGCCCAGCTGGCCCCGGCTCCTCACTGCCGCCCTTCCCCGTACCACACAGGATCATCCTTTTACGGATGTTTCCAGGACCCCCTCACGCCGCAGCTGCTGTGCTGTGGGTATCAGGACCGGCAGCCCCCCGCTCTGAGATTTTGCCTCAGCAAACGCCTCTGTCTCGAGCGCAGGCAGTCTCGCAGGGGAGGGGATAGGGATGGATGTTAGCACGAACCCACCGCTGGGAGCATGCCCCCCCGCCTCCACCTCTACTGGTACAGACTGCCCCTTCGCCCCGGAAACACCCTGCCCTGCCCGGGAACGCCCCCTCGTGCGTTTCTACTGGCGCAAGCGTTAGTAACAGTGAGCAAATAAAGAGAATTAAGTAATATTGCATTCCCTCAATATAAATCTTGGGAATGCACAGCTAAGGAGCGCGGGCCGACGCTACGCTGCTTTCTCGTCCCCGGCGGGCACCGATGTTCTTCGCAAGTTCTCTTTCACTTTAATAAATTCTGGTGCATGTTCCTCCTCCTTCTCGTGTTCTCGCTCCAGCTAGATTGAAGAACAGCGACGGTTACTGTGTGCTAGAGAAAACAGGAGCCTCCGTTCCCTACATCGTTGTAGGTTTCCTACGTTACTCGTTGGCCGGGTTCTGTAGCGCTCTCGTGCAGAGTAGCATCTTATTTTGCTATTAGACTCATTGGCTTCAGCGGGGCGATTTCTGGAGGGAGGGGCTGCTCCCTGCGTGGACGGAGTGCTGGGGGGCTGGCATGCAAGGGGACTGTTTGGGACACATTTTGAGGGGCTGCGATTGGGTTTCGTTCTGCAGCAGAACAAGCAGAGTCCTTCCCAAAACTCTCACCCAGGACTTGAGAGCCAGAGAGAGCCTAGCCAACAGCGCGGGGTTAGGCGCGCCCTGGGGACGTGGGAGGCTGCACCAGGCAGAGCAAGGACTGGAAGCTGGCTCCGCATGGCGCAGGTAACCGCGCTCACTGAGGGTTAATGGCTACTCTGGGGTAGATGGGTGGGGCTGTCCCTCTCTCGCTCCTGGATCCGAGAAACCTTCCCAGCAACGTGTGGCCCAACCCTCAGCTTTCTCAGGGAAGATTTTGGTTTCGATCCATTTTCTGTCGAAGAAAACGTTAGGTCGACTGTTCCCGGGCTGCTGTCACGCAGCGCAACCTCGCCTGCCTCCAGGAGGCGTTTGGCTAGAGGCTGCCCACCAGGGGCAGAATGCCCGGCCGGCCACCACTCGGCCACTGGGTGCCGGGGAGGGACGAGGCCCTGGCCTCGCGCTCCCAGACAGCAAACCCAACCTCTGGGCGTGGCGCTGTTGTAAGCACCGTCCAGCTCCCCAGCATTTAACCCAACACCGGGAGTGACAAAACCCAGCTGCTACCTGATCCAGCCGCTGCTGCCGCCTCA